GAGAACAGTGGGTACCGACCGCAGTCAAGGGGCTCGGCAATACGCAGAACCTGCGCATAACAAATGTGTCAGAACGACCAGTGACGTTACAACGGGACACTCGAGTTGGTATCTGGCTGACAGGAGACCACGTACCGCGGATGCCAGGGTTCGTCTCGATTGGGTCCCGGAGATACGCTGAGTGGCAGAACTTGGCGTTGCAGGCCACCACTGAACTGCAAGCTGTGGACGAAGTGGTCGAAGTGAAGTGGTCGAAGTTGCGACAGAACCGATGGTGGACAGGCCTCGATACGAACCGCCGACCAAGATCCTAGCGGGTAGACGGGAACACCCGAAGGCGATGATCGTCATGTCGGCGTCGACAAGGGAGTCGATCACTGCACCAAGTATCGCAGGCGAAGAATCGGCAGGGTTTCAACCGAAGGAAGAGGGTCGGAGCGGTACGACCGAGCCGACGTGAGAGATCAAGAGTGATCGAGGACAGCCTCGATCAACGGAATTGGGAGGGACACAAGTTGAACCGAAGGAGGAAGCTGACGATGACATGGACGATGCTGTCTGCTACCATGAAGGCGGAGACATCTTCCCCGAAGACATCGAGAACAACATGGCTGTCCTGCCGGAAGTGGAGGCTACCACGAAGGAAGTCACCATCGACGACATACAAGTGGATGATCCGCACGCGACACCGGAAGAACGCGAGCGGCTGCGTCGCATCATCTGGAAGCGACGCCACTTGTTGATCGGAGCTGGTAACGCCTTACCACCGGCCGCCTTCGGAGCTATTTGCGACATTGATGTCGGAACGGCAAAGCCGGTAGCTCAGCGATGTCGACGGGTAGCGCCACAATTCCGCGAGAAGCTGTCCATGCTCATCAAGGGACTGCTGTCGGCAAAGATCATCACCACCTCCACCTCACCTTGGGCGTCACCCATCGTTGTCATCATCAAGGCTAACGGGGTTGACATTCGCCTCTGCATTGATTACCAGGTGGTGAACAGCCTTACGAGGTTGATGGTGTACC